CCTGACTTGCTTTTTATTCATTGAATTCTTGTATTGAATGATTTGTGGCCCAGTTGGGAGAGATGGAATTACAGGGCTAAATAAGAGTAATTTTGCCACCATAGAAACTTGATTTCATAGTTGCTTTTTCCTGCAGATCTGAACAAGACTCTGGTTGTTTGCCTATCTAATTAAGCTGCAAATCTTGAAATTAAATGATGGAGTAAATAAGATGAACTCTTTATCTTCCTAGCTATTAGGCACATATACCCTTTTCACTTGCATACTCAAATCTCTAGGAATCCATGTTTCTATTTCTGAAGGTAGAATTATCTTCATTTGATTTTTCTTATTAGGCACACTAAGTAGCATTGATTATAGACTCTGACAGTTATCAACAGCAGGGCTTCTGATTTTCACATGTTTAGGCCACTTAAAATGCACTACAGCCTAGTAGATCTCTGCTCCTTCAATCAGCTACCATCAGCTTTCTGATTATTCTGACACCACCTCACTCCCGCTGCCAAATTGCTACCAACAATTATTCTTCTGAAGTGTGACAACTAGACTATAATTCAGGTTTGGTTATCACTTCTAGCCAAAGCTCCTAAGGGAATTTTGTGTCCAGTTAAATAATTTGGACCACTTTTACAAATTTTCTCTGCATTTTCCAGATCATCTTTCAGAATATAGTGTCTCTGTGGATAAACTAGATGTTTAGAAACATCCAGCCTTGACCATATTTTGATTCATCTCATAATTTTATTAATTTTTGTCTCTATTAACTTATGTTTCCAGAAGCATGTCATAGACATGCTAAATAACAAGGATTTATAAGATGAAAAACAGTTTGTTTATTTTACCTGTTTTGTTTTCATGGCTGTGGTTGTCCGCCCTTGTGTACCTAGACTTTGGCCTCAACCTTTTCTCTATCCCATGGGGATATGCAGCTTTGAACTTACCTGTCAGCAGAAAGAAGAGCAGCACATGACAGAACAGTCAGTCTATCTTAGCACCTTGCTAACAAAGAGCAGTATCTGGAGTCAGGTGTCTTTTTCTCAGCTTCCTTCATCTTCACCTACCCATGCATTTATTCAATCAACACATAATTATTGTGCCAGTCAATGTTCTAGGAGCTTGGAATATAATGATGAATATAGCAGGCACAATCCCCATCCTCATGAAACTTACAGTCTAAACCAAGTCATCTCAACCACAGAATTATTGACATTTAGGATTGGATAATTCTTTCTTGTGTTGGGCTTTCCTGCACATTGTAGCATAGAGGAGAATTTTTTTTTCTCTACCCATCTTAGATTTATTGGTGGGGGAACTGAAATCAGACTGACAAAAGATTAACAAGAGGAAAATAAAGTTTATGAACATGTGCATTGTACATACACATGGGAGCACTCAGCGACGAGTAACTCAAAGGGGTGGTTAAGACTTGGGCTTTTATAGCATCATAACAAAAGAACAATAAATTTATAGCAAAGTGACAAGACAATAAAAGAGGACTTTGAGATTCTGGGGTGGCAAATTGTGGGAAGGTAAATAGATACAAAAACGAATAGATGATAAGGGCTGGTTTTATCAAGGTTTATTATGTATTAATAATGTGTCAATTCCAGGCTGATAAGGGTCTAGAGTTTTCTCCAGTGATTAACTTCTCTTCTTCCTAGTAGAGAGGGAAGAGGGATATCGCTACAAATTTATGTCTTTCTTTTAGGCAAATAAGGGGAAGGCAGAGAACTTTCCTTCTATCTACTTATTCTTAATTGTCTTTAGCTCAAAATAATCAATATGGCAAAGTGACATTATTTTGGGTTGGTGCATTCTGACATCCTTCAGTAGAATGTGTAAGTAGCATTATTGACCCTCACCTACCACATGCCAGTAGCATGCCCCAGTTGTGACAAATGAAAATGTCTCCAGTCATTGCCAAATGTTCCTTGGAGGTTCAAAATTGTCCACAGTTGACAACCACTAGTCTAGATCTTCCATTGTACATAGAGCTAGTCTGACCTTGAACAAATAATAATGAACAAGTAGTCATAAGTATGTGTATTTCTACAAAGGAGTAGAACAGAGGAGCTATATGAAATGCTGAACTGGAGGAAAGGAAACCCTGCTTTTGATAGGGTAATCAGGAAATACTTAAGGTCTCTGTCACTTTCTGGTGTCTCTATTCAGAGTACTCTTCCACCAGAGAAGAACAAGGATCCAACAGCCATATAATGATCTGAAGGATGAGCACTCCAGGCAGAGAGAGCAGAAATTATAAAGGCCCTGAGGTGAGAACAGCTGAGGCAAGTATGAGCTCAATGTGTTCACAACATGCAAAGAAGACCAGTGTGACTGGAGGCCAGTGAATCATGAGGACAAAGACAGAAGAGCCACATAAAAAAGGTTTCACTCTTGCTCTGCCATTTTCTCCCCATATTTTCTTTCAAAATGTTTCACAGGAGGTTTAGATTAATCAGAAATAGAGATAAATCTAATTGTTACACATTAGGGAGCTCCAGGGACTTTCAGGAAGAGAGAATGTTGTGTTCACAATGTTCTACTTTATTTTCAATAAAGAAAAAATAAAAATATCTGAACACATACAACCTAGGAATTAGATTTACTAATAGTAAATGATTTGAAAGGAATACATGTGTATGGATTTACATCACCTGCTATTATCTGTTTTGGTCCATTCTGGCTGCTATAACAAAATACTCTGGACTGGGTAATTTGTAAACAACAGAAATTTATTGCTCACAGTTCTGAAGGTTTGGAAGTCCAAGATCAAGGCACCAACAAATTAGGTGTCTGTTGGGGGCCTTTTTTTACATAGACGGTGCTTTCTATGTGTCCTAACATGGCAGAAGGGGAAGGCAGCTCTCTGGAGCCTCTTTTATAAGTTCATTAATTCCATTCACAAGAGCTAAACCTTGACCTAATCACCTCTCAAGGGCCTAATATTCTGATAACATTACACTAGAGATTAGGAATCATCATATGAATTTGGGGGGGTGCAAACATTCAGACCATAGCATTGTCCAACTTTGGAGAACAAAGTTAAAGTTTCTGTACATGGAAAGATACTATCTTGAGTCATCTTACTCCCACTCTACCTCATCTTTAACCACTGCAGCATAAAGCATGAGAAAGAACCAAGCATACAACCTCTCACAGAGGAATGGAATTTCCCTCTAAGGTAGGTTGGGAAAATTCTAACTTCGACTCCAGCACTATGCATTGAAAATTTCAAAAGACCTCTCTGAATTGATCATTAGGGATTGTGACAGAAAGATGAATGCAACTCGCTATATATGTTTAAGGAGTCAGCACTTGGCGGCAGTGCCCTGCCCCTCCTTTCTTGACCCTGCCGTTAGGCTACAAGTGTCATGCTCCAACCCATCCAGCACTGCTCTATTTTTTCTAAGACAGCTACAAACCTCCAGTGAAGCTTACCACCATCATCAGTAGATAGAAACACAAGCTTCAGTGAAAGATAGGCCTGTGCTGATATATGGCTGTGCTATTTCTTAGCTGAGTAACACGATCAGGAGGCTTTACTTAGTTTCAATATCTGTAAAATTGGAATAATAGTAGTACCACTTTCTTAGGTATTGGTGTGGAATTATTTAAAATTTTCTACCTAATGTGCCACTACAATGCTAGGTACATAGTGAGTGTCATTATATCCTACTAGTTATCACTTTTGCTGTTATAATCATCCTTCATGGTGTATCCTTTGCCACATGCGGACTGAGGCTCTGACAGAATCTTTTATGGCCAATACTCTAACTTGATCCAGTTCTATCTCAAAGGAAGTCATGCGCCTTCTCAGAATATCTGTCTACTTGTTTATAAATGAAAAGGGGTAGGACTCTTAGGTATGCCACATAAAGCAGAGAGCCAAGTGGAGCCGTATCTGGACCTGATAGAGAGGACTATTTTTCACCTCATCTGACGTGGATGCAATAACCAGAGGGGGCTTTTGGCTACTATCTACCAATGTGAGAGGTAGATCGTTAACCTGTTATATGTGTGAGGAGAAAAGTGGCAGAAAAGTTGGTAATCAGAAGGGTGCGATGTGGCAAAGCATTCTACTGCTGACTAGTATCTGTTTTCTCCCCCTCTTCCTTGACACATCATTAGACCACATTTCCTGATCCACTTGCAACTAGGTAGGTCCATATGGCTGAGTTTTGGCCAATGAAATGTATGTCAAAGTTGATGGGTTTCTGTCATGTCTTCATTATCCTCCATGGCTTTTCTTTCCCTCATCTGCTAGTTGGATGCAAAAAAAAAAAAAAAAAAATGGAGAACTCCAAGGTCCTTGAAGATGGTAAGAATACTCAAGTCACTGAATAACTACATAAAGTAGAACTTCCTTGTTGATACAATTAGACTATGAAAAGAATGAGAAATTAACCTTTGTTGTATTAAGCCATAAATTCTGGAGTCAGCTATCAGCCAAGTATGACTACTGCATAACTCTGTAAGTGTTGCATTGTCTATAATTTTAGATGAATAACATCTATCCCACAGGGATGCTGAGAAGAGTGACATGTAACAAGTCTAGCACAGTGTCTGGCCCATAATAAACATTCGAAAAAGATAATGATCCTCATCCTTAACTATTCACACAAATTCATTACAATTTCTGAACTTTTCCTCACTTTTTATGCTTTTTGATATCAATGCCTGCACATGGTAGCAATATAGACCCTTTAGAGTGAATCTGAGTTGTTTTAAATTGGCCTTGTGGTTAATTCCTTTTTTTTAAAATTCTTGAATAATGAGAAGATGAAGCCACTGGAAGCACTAAACAAGTTCACCAATGCCTGAATTTCTGTTTTTCACAGAAAGCACAACACTATTCATATGTGGGGGAAGAAAAATATGCCATTCAATCTGGTGACTGTAAGAAAACCTTTTCCTTCCTTATGTGGATTTCTATGTGAATTGTTTCTATTTTGAAAAAAAAAAAAATACAGGGCGGAGGGCGGGGGAGGAGCAGGAACGAGCCGGGCCAGGGGGCGGCTGCACAGACTCCGGGATCCCCAGGCCTGGAGGGGGGTCTGCGCGCGGCCAGCTGGCTCTGCCCCGCGTCCGGTCCCGAGCGGGCCTCCCTCGGGCCAGCCCGATGTGACCGAGCCCAGCGGAGCCTGAGCAAGGAGCGGGTCCGTCGCGGAGCCGGAGGGCGGGAGGAACATGACATCGCGGAGATGGTTTCACCCAAATATCACTGGCGTGGAGGCAGAAAACCTACTGTTGACAAGAGGAGTTGATGGCAGTTTCTTGGCAAGGCCCAGTAAAAGTAACCCTGGAGACTTCACGCTTTCTGTTAGAAGAAATGGAGCTGTCACCCACATCAAGATACAGAACACTGGTGATTATTATGACCTGTACGGAGGGGAGAAGTTTGCCACCTTGGCTGAGTTGGTCCAGTATTACATGGAACACCATGGGCAATTAAAAGAGAAGAATGGAGCTGTTATTGAGCTTAAATATCCTCTGAACTGTGCAGATCCTACCTCTGAAAGGTGGTTCCATGGACACCTTTCTGGGAAAGAAGCGGAGAAATTACTAACTGAAAAAGGAAAGCACGGTAGCTTTCTTGTCCGAGAGAGCCAGAGCCATCCTGGAGATTTCGTTCTCTCTGTGCACACCGGTGATGACAAAGGGGAGAGCAATGACGGCAAGTCTAAAGTGACCCATGTCATGATTCGCTGTCAGGAACTGAAATACGATGTTGGTGGAGGAGAACGGTTTGATTCTTTGACAGACCTCGTGGAACATTACAAGAACCCTATGGTAGAAACATTGGGCACAGTACTGCAACTCAAACAGCCCCTCAACACAACTCGTATTAATGCTGCTGAAACAGAAAGCAGAGTACGAGAACTAAGCAAATTAGCTGAGACCACAGATAAAGTCAAACAAGGCTTTTGGGAAGAATTTGAGACACTACAACAACAGGAGTGTAAACTTCTCTACAGCCGAAAAGAAGGTCAAAGGCAAGAAAATAAAAACAAAAATAGATATAAAAACATCCTGCCCTTTGATCATACCAGGGTTGTCCTCCATGACGGCGATCCCAATGAGCCTGTTTCGGATTACATCAACGCAAATATCATCATGCCCGAATTTGAAACCAAGTGCAACAATTCAAAGCCCCAAAAGAGCTATATTGCCACACAAGGCTGCCTGCAAAACACGGTGAATGACTTTTGGCGGATGGTCTTCCAAGAGAACTCCCGAGTGATTGTCATGACAACAAAAGAAGTGGAGAGAGGAAAGAGTAAATGTGTCAAATACTGGCCAGATGAGTATTCCCTGAAAGAATACAGGGTCATGCACGTTAGGAACGTCAAAGAAAGTGCCGCCCGTGACTATACGTTAAGAGAACTTAAACTTTCCAAGGTTGGACAAGGGAATACAGAGAGAACCATCTGGCAGTACCACTTTCGGACCTGGCCGGACCACGGAGTGCCCAGTGACCCCGGGGTCATGCTGGACTTCTTGGAGGAGGTCCACCACAAGCAGGAGAGCATCATGGATGCAGGGCCAGTCGTAGTGCACTGCAGTGCTGGAATTGGCCGGACAGGGACATTCATTGTGATTGATATCCTTATTGACATCATCAGAGAGAAAGGTGTTGACTGCGACATCGACGTTCCCAAAACCATCCAGATGGTGCGGTCTCAGAGGTCAGGGATGGTCCAGACAGAAGCACAGTACCGATTCATCTATATGGCCGTCCAGCATTATATTGAAACACTACAGCGCAGGATCGAAGAAGAGCAGAAAAGCAAGAGGAAAGGGCACAAGTATACAAATATTAAGTATTCTCTAGCGGACCAGACCAGTGGCGATCAGAGTCCCCTCCCGCCTTGTACCCCAACGCCACCCTGTGCAGAAATGAGAGAAGATAATGCTAGAGTCTATGAAAACGTGGGCCTGATGCAGCAGCAGAAAAGTTTCAGATGAGAAGACCTGCCAAAACTTCAGCACAGAAATAGATGTGGACTTTCACCCTCTCCCTAAAAAGATCAAGAATGGATGCAAGATAAAGTTTATGTGAAGAATGAATTTGGATTTGGAAGGCTTGCATTGTGATTGGCTACCTTTTAATAAGCAAAATTTGAAACCATGTAAAGACCTGTATTTTCACTCAACAGTACCTGATTTCCAATTACTCATTTCCTCAGATAAGAAATCATCTCTACAATGTAGACAGTGTTATAGATTTTATAGAATTTTGTTTTAAATTGAGGAAACAGTTAAATTGTGCTCTATGTTTTGCCAATTATGGATTCAAATTCTAGGTATGGGCAGTTTTTTCTTTTTATAACCTTAACCCATTTAATTTGTTTTCTCTTTGTAGGGGATGATAGGACACTTGTAAGAAGAAATGATTTGGGAAAATTAAGTAACAACATCCCAGAGAAGTGAGAACAATTTCATTTAGTATCACTTATCCAGTAGTGGATAATCCATTTTGACAGCTTCTTTTTTTGGCTAAATGATAATTAAGCCAGGGCCTGAGACTGTCAGATGCTGTCTACCTTTGCATTACCATTAAAGAATCATGGGGGAAAAAATCATAAAATTTTTATGAATTAGCATAAAGAGGTGTGTTTTCTTCTTAGCAGTTGACCAATTACCATTCAGCTGTTGAGTGAGAAGGTTGTGGTGGGAAAATGTTTGCCATATTTTCTTTGCATTTGAGTAATTGTCTTGTATTTAGAAAAAAGGCATCTGTGGATGACTAGTGTTTTTGGTTGTCAAATGTTGCTGACAAATCACCCCCAAATTTTTAAATGACCCCCTCCCCACCCCCATCTGTTCTTTCTGAGCTGGGCTCAGCTGAGCTGTTCTTCTGCTGACCTTGCCGGCGGTCACTCATGTGGTCAGCAGGTTGGCAGAAACTCTGGGATGGCTGGGCTTCTTTCTCCGTGTGCAGCCCTCAGGGTCTCTCCTCCTCTGTGTGGTCTCACTAGCAGAGTCCCTAAACCTCCTATTTGCAGCTCAGAGCTGCCAAGAACTTGAAAGCAGAAGCAGCCAGGCCTCCTTAAGACTTAAGTCCAGAACTGTTGCAGCATCCCTTCTACTGCCCCCTAGTGATGAAACGAGTCAGGAGCCCAGCCCAGATTCAAGAAGAGGGCATGCAGTAGAGGTGCAGTTCACTGGGGGGCCGCCAGTCTGACAGACTGTGACAGCCAGGGCTATGGAAAACCAACTATATTAGCAAAAGTAGAAACTGCTAGTGACCTTGGGAAGCTGAAGCTGCTTACACTAGCTGGTATAAGCTGAAAGTCAGACTGAGGAATAAAGAGAGGGCCTTCTAGAAGCTTCATGAACCAATTCTGCCAGCTCTGAGCATATTTTCTGAACCAGCACTTGGGAAAACTGGTCTTGTAAGGATAGACGTGTTTAGGGTTTTGAGAGTGGAACCACCCCATCATTGGGGCACCCCCAGACTGTGGGGAATGTGACGCTTTCTTGATGCCACTGGTTTCTAGTCAGACCACAGTGAGAAGGAGCAGTCATGACTGGCTTCCAGCCAGATTGAATTAGCTCATTTTTGTTTTAGCCAAGCAGTAAGATTTGCTAATGTTCTACCTTAAGTGCCTTCTCCAAAGACATCCCTCTTTGCCTCATGTGTTGAATCATCACTCAGTGAGTATATTTCAATGAAAATATCCTGGGTTGACTTTTGTAATGACGATAAAGTGCTACAGCCACTTTGCCATGACGTTGGGATCTCCTCAGATTCTTCTGGCTCCTGAAAAGAAGGCCTAGATCCAGCCCTGGCAGTAATTCCTTTCTGAGGTCTTTCAGTGTCTTAAAACCCTGAGGTCGTTTGGGAGCTCAGTGGCTGCCATGCTCACAGACAGAATGTCCGCTGATGCCCCCACGCCTGCCCCAAGACCCATTGGACTTACTTACAGTTGCTTCAGAACACAGGTGTGGCCCGGAGAGTACCTTCTTAGGGGAGTGCCATGACTGCTGTTTTCCTGGCAGGGCTGTCAAGAAACAGATTCCAGTTCAGTATTTGCAAAAAGGATCTTGAATCCTGTTCTTTTTATTTCATTATCACATTGAACCGTTCTCCATTTTGCTTCAATTTTGTGATAATGTCTTCACTTCACTTTGGGGACAAAGTCTTTCACCAGCATACAAGGGGTTTGGTTTTACAGATATATCCGCTGCATTAACATCTCTGCCTGTAGCTGAAAATCAGTTGTTTTTGCACGTGGGATGGAAGTACCTGATCATGGTCAGCTTTGTTCTAGGACATTGATTTCATTTAGATTTCCCTCCATGAGGTCAGCAAGCTGTCATGCTGTCATATAAACTTAATGCCAGGACAAGATTCATATGACAGTCCCTTGGTTGCTAAGGTTTGTTGTGTGTTTAGTAAAAGGTGATTGCAGGTTCTCAGATGAGGTTACTTTACTTGGAATGGAATCAGGCAGAAGGGCTGGGATGGTGTGGGGGGGAGCTTGAGGTTCAGGTTTAAAAAAAAATAGTGGAAAGGAAAGTTCCAAAGAGGTGGTGTCTGAGGAAGTCAGGGGCCCAGGGCCGGAGCAGTCAGTACTGGGTGAATCAGGTTACCTGGAAAATAGGTGCGAAGGTACACATATGCAGTCTACTTTTAGGTTGCTGGTAGACATTAAATATGCACAATGTTCCATATAGCTGGCTGAGTATTTTTAAATTATAAGCATAGGGTTTTATATTTGGGGTGCAGGAATTATCTGGCATGCAGTTATTGGGGTTAAAAAAATAAAAGCCAAATTTCAGAGTCTTAATAGCTTTTTTAAAAAAAATGAATAAATAAAAAGGCACCTCGTGTCCAGCGTGTGGCCCTTCTGAAACTTACAGTCCTCTCTCCCATGGAAATCAGTGACTTTTCAAATGCGGCTAAGTGGGGATGAGGAAATGTAGGTAGGACTTTCTTGGTGTCTGTGTTCTTTATGGGGCCCAGTTGCTTTGGAACAGCCAAGAAAATGGTCAAGATTATTTTTAGGGGATTCTTTTACTGGGGCTTTTAAGAACTTATTATGACATCTCGGGTTATTTCTAGTTCAGGAAAATGTGAAAAGGTATGCAATTGTGAAGTGTTTTGTTGTAGATTAGTATCTATAAGGGAAACTTAGACTGTAGACATAAATATAAGCCCAGTGCAGTTTTTATTTTCTGTATGTTGTTGGGAGAATAAAATTTTCTATATAGCAAGCACACGGCCTCCCCAATTGCAAGACGCCTTTCTTAGAGTCTGTATTAGCCCTTAATTTTGTTGAAATCTCTTTCCTTCTTCCTCTTGAAGAATAAGTTCCAAAATATAGTTTGTTGTATCTTCCATCACTAAAAAGTTTATTCCTTTTTCACTATGGGCAGTTCACACAAGGCAAGCATATTAAAACAGTTGGTTTTAGTGTATTGTATAACTTTGCTGTATCTCAAACTAATTTTTACCAGTTTTTATCCTAAACCTCCAATCATGTAATTAATAATTTGCCTGTTTATTTATGACCTAATTGTGATTCTTTTATTAATAAAAGATAATGGAAAAGGATTCTTTATTAAGCATATGACTAGACCTACAATTAATTTTCCTGCAGTATATGAAGAAGTATTGTACCAGAGTATTAAAAGATATGTAATATTTTATTGATAAATCTATCCTTTAAAAGGAATACGTTTTAGGATGTCATCATTTTGATGTGAATCATGTAAATGTTGATAATATGCTGTTTATTATACATTTAGTGTTTCAAGAGATTCACGTAATTGCCTCTTTGCCCACATATATTATGTAGTCTCTTTGCAATTGTTTTTTAAAAAAAAATGACATTAAAAGAATAGTTTATGTGGAGAAACATTAGTGGATGTTAATTGTCTCCCCACCTGTATTTATGGGTGTGTTAGTTCAACTGCTTTGCTAGTTGCAAAGCCGTATTATCAGAAGAAAAGTGTATTTGTAAACTGTATGGGAACTAAAAATTAGGAATAAAACCATTTTCTTATATTAAAAAAAAATACAGTTATTCACATTTACCATCATAGACCTGAATCAGAGTATAGGCTGGAACCAACGAGGATTTCATATCTGCAGCTAGAAAATGATTGAGGCCTGGTTTGAAATTCTGTATTCTATTTGTAATAGCTCAATTTTCATCTTAATTGTCCCAGCAAAGATAGATGCACTCCAATAAAACAGCTGCAATTCCTATGAAATCCATTGGAATATAACTCTCATTCAGGTAACCCATTCATTATTCCAGAAAAGCATTGATAGCTTTGACAAAATAATTATACAGAGAGTCAGACTGCTAAAAATTCCATTGATGTTATATGTAATCATACAAATGACACATCAGAAAATGTACTGGTGCATATGATCCTGTACATATGATCATTTATTGGATGCCTAATATGTGCAAAGTATCTACTAGAGACTGCATGACATACAGCTAAACAAAAGCATGAGAATGGAAGAATTATTCAAGGTTCAATTCTCTTTGGATTTCTTTCATTCTCAAAACTTTCCACAGGCTCCCAACTGCTTATTAAAGTAGTTAGAACTCTATTTTTATGACAGTCATGGGCATCTACAATAAAGCTTTATCCAATCGTGGTGAGCATACTGAACTACTGCACAAAACTTCCTGCATCTATGTTTTTCATCATACCATATCTTCTGCCTGAATGTCCTCCTAGTCTTGTTGGTTCCCACTGAAATCCAATTCATCCTTTAAAGCTCATCTCTAGTGCTATTGATTTCACGCAGGTTTATTTGATTACTTTTCAAAACTCTTGAAAAATACGTCTTATCTCCTCCTTCTCCCTGTGTTAATGCTTCTTTGGGCACTTCTCATCCTCATCTAGTTATCCTGTGAGTATTTGCCTTAGATACACTAGTACTACTACTACTTAAGGGCCATAACTGTCTTACTTTTTTTGTTTCTGACAGTTCCTAATATAGTTTTTAATATATAGTTCACACTTCTTAAATATTTTTAATAGAAAACTTTAAACCCAATAATAAACAAACAGATTTTTCAATGGGTAAAGGATTTGAATAAACATTTCTCCAAGGAAGATATAAAAATGGCTAATAGGCCGGGCGCGGTGGCTCACACCTGTAATCCTAGCTCTCTGGGAGGCCGAGGCGGGTGGATCGTTGGAGCTCAGAAGTTCAAGACCAGCCTGAGCAAGAGCGAGACCCTGTCTCTACTAAAAAAAAAAAAAAAAAAAAGTTAATTGGCCAACTGAAAATGGAAAAAAAAAAATAAAGGAATAAAAAAAATTTTAAAAAAAAATGGCTAATAGCTTGGGAAATTTTTCTCCCATTCTGTAGGTTGTCTGTTTGCTCTTGGCGAGAGCAAACAGACAACACATCCAATAAAGGGCTGATAACTAAAATCTATTTAAAACTCAATAAAATCAGCAAGGAAAAATAAAACAACCCTATCAAAAAGTGGGCAAAGGATATGAACAGAAACTTTTCAAAAGAAGACAGAATAATGGCCAACAAACATGAAAAAATGCTCAATATCTCTAATCATCAGGGAAATACAAATCAAAACCACAATGAGATATCACTTAACTCCAGTGA